ATCGATGTACGGTAAGGTAAGGAAGCCATCCTCCCCCAACGTCTGTTTCGGTGCCCTACCCTTTGACCTCGCTTGTCTGACCTGCCTTAGAAGTTTTTTTCAACAGCTGTGCCGAATAACCATTACCCAGTAGCAATGCCCTCATCTTGCTCACTCCAGATTCTGCCTTACTTGTGCTGGAAGCATTGTTGTAGGCTCTATGGAACATGTTCCTAATCATCAGCTCATGGCAAGGATATTGACACTTTTGGTTTAACGTACGATGATATTTGTGCCCTCTTGGACCAGTGCCTAAACAATAATGTGTTTTCGTTCGGGGATAGCTACTATAGGCAGAAACTAGGCATAGCCATGGGAAACCCGTGTGCGCCACCTTTAGCCATCATTTTTCTGGATAGGTTTGAACAGCAGGCTCTCGGAAACGCAGCTCTGAAACCTGAGTTTCTGGTAAGATATATAGACGACTATGCAGGCATTTGGATACATGGGGAGGAGGCGCTGTTAGGCTTTGTAGACTATCTGAACAGCATACATCCAAATCTAGCTTTCACCTTGGACTTCACTAAAGATAACAAAGGGGTGCCCTTTTTGGACACTTTGGTTACTATCGAGACATCCCAGGCAGGTAGGGCCAAACTGGAGACGGAACTGTATATCAAACCAACGAACTCGGGCATAGTGTTACATGCTACCTCAGCACACCCCTCAGCTACTAAGCATAGCATGATTAGGAACATGTTCCATAGAGCCTACAACAATGCTTCCAGCACAAGTAAGGCAGAATCTGGAGTGAGCAAGATTAGGGCATTGCTACTGGGTAATGGTTATTCGGCACAGCTGTTGAAAAAACTTCTAAGGCAGGTCAGACAAGCGAGGTCAAAGGGTAGGGCACCGAAACAGACGTTGGGGGAGGATAGCTTCCTTACCTTACCGTACATCGATGAGGATTTGCTATGCAAGGTGAAAAAAGTGGTCAAGAAATCGGGGCTGGACGTGAAAGTAGCATGGCGTAATTATAAAAAGTTAAAGAAACAGTTAGTGCGGTCGGCCTTTTCCAAACCTCAATGCCCGGGCGGCAACAGATGTAATCTATGTAAGACAGATTTTCGCGGACTATGCACACAAAAAAACGTAGTTTATAGGCTAAAATGCAAACTTTGTGCTTCTGATGTAGGTCAAATGGAGTACATTGGGGAAACGAAAAGGCCCTTGAGGCTGCGGTTCAATGAACATTTACGTGATATGACGAGCCAAAAACAGGATACACCCTTAGGAGACCATTTTCGTACCTGTCACCCACAGACTACAGGCAACCTCACACACATAGATGTTGAAGTTTTGTACCGGGCAAGAGACCATCCTGACCGCAAAATAGCGGAATCACTACTCATCAGGCAGCTTGACCCAAGGCTAAACTCAAATGTGTCCTCATGGCCTATCATGTAGATATATGTAAATGTGGGTGAGTGAAGATTTGGAAATGTATGAAGTGTGATCGTGGAAATGTCCAATGCTTCCTATGGCCAATTTTGTATTGCTAAATTTGTAATGCGCTTTACTGGACTTGTGAACAATCAGTGCGAATGAAGATCTGTATATATGTGTATATTGTATAATTTACATTATCTGGCTATGGTTTGACCTTGATGGTCATAGATACGTTGAACTCTAACCTTGAACTCGACCTTGTCTGGCATTTGAACCTAGTACTTTGACCTTTGACTTTGGAGTGTTGACCTTTGAACTCGATGTGTCAAGCGATGTGTTTTCATGCATATTCTGTGATATTTTGAAGTTGTTAAAAAGGTTGTACCACTGTTTTATGAGCGCGAGATAAACCGCGCTAATTTTTGAATTTGAAAACCGCGGGAATAAGTCTGCTGCATCAATTATTGTATTCTCGTTCTTGTACACTTGTGTACACTGTCTTATTCTGAAGAAGACCTGTTGGTCGAAATATCAATACAGTAATATTTGGCTATTCAAATAATTTTTAAATGTCGAGGAGAGGTCAATTTTTCATATATTTTCTCTCTCTAATAATCTGTCTTAGAGTTACAGCCCGCCAAACTGAGCGCTGCAAAGCAAGATCCAAAAAATGTTATACACCATAACTCAAAAAATACTTATCTGATAAGCCTGAAATTGTTACAGGTGGATTCAGAGCCCCTGATTACCCCTGAGACCAATTCTCGTCAAATTCCGAGAGATGAGGGTGTCAAATTGGAAAAAAAGTGGTACGATCTATCGTGGAATGCCCCAAATGCCAAATGCCATACGGCATTAAACTTGCATTGAAACAAAGAATAATATTCATTTTTAAAGTTTTGAAATATATACTATTTTTGATATACTGATATTTTTGATATTTTTGATTACTTACGATGAGAACAGCAAGCACTCTGCCGTTACAGTTCTAACTTCTGTTTCGAAAACCGACATTACACACATTCGCTGCCAGCATAACATGTATTGTTTGACAGTAACAAAATACAATTGACATCTGAACCCCAAACGGACCGCCATCCACTCAAATTTTATAACCCTGACCGGTCAGGGGGCGAATGGAGGTCATCTCCTGGGCATTACACTCAGCCCTTGCACAAAATATCTCACCTCACAGTGATCACTACAACAATAGCACCGACTTGATAGTGGATTTCAAAGTACTTGCATCAGCTCTTCCTGCTATTGCAGACGATCATCTCCTCAGGGTAATGTTGTTCGGGACATGAACGAAGATCGTTTTCGGAGTTTCATAAGTGCTACTGCAACAGCCTGGCACAAAACAGGACTTGTACGCTCTTCTCTGCACTTTGCCCTTCAGTATATCACAAAAGAATTGTTTAGCAACCATCTTACGCTTCTTTCACAGTCTCCCTTGCCACCGTAGGGCGTAGATAGATTGCTGTTGCTGGTAAGTTAACCCGCGCCCAGATGGGGTCTGCCGAGCAACGCGGTCTGATGGGGGGGGGGGCCATTTTGGCCCCCCCCCCTCAGATCTCGAGAACCACGCAACATAGCGACAAGCGGTAAACGGTGTTGGATAGCCCCAACGGGGAACTACCTTGTGACCCAATTTCATTGACCTCGGTCAAACCGATGACGTCACAGGTCAGGTCAAAGGTCGAATTTTCACCGTTTACAGGCATTTCAAGAAATGCGTTGTAAAATCGTGTAAAATGCATTTCATTGGAAATTATCGATGGCGAAATGTTCTTCAAACACATATTTTGCTATTTGAGGTCACTGATACCAGGTCAGGTCACAGAGGTCAGGTCACTGGGGGGTCACAATATGAAAGTGTCATGTGATACATGTTTTATGGTCCATTTTACATGACAAATGCGATTATGTGGGTCAGACAGACTTTAGGGCCAGCTTAGGTCACGTTTTGGTCAAGGTCAGGTCAAGGTCAGGTCAAGGTCAGGTCAAATTAGGTCAAATTTCAAAGTTGATATTTTTGCATAAAATGGGTATCGATTCGATGCAGCTCGTCACGGGGAGTTCAATGGTGGTCTCCGTTTTGCGCTACGAGGTCTAGAATTGCTAAAAATTGAGTTCAAAAATTTGACGTCATCAATTTTTAACAGTTTTTTCGCTATAACTTGGCCAAAAAAAGAGGTATCGAGCTAAAATTTGGTATGTATATCGAAGAGCGCAGGGACTATCACATACATTCCGGTTTTTTCGAAATTCGAAAAATTTTTGGAAAATTTTTGAGTTTTTCTAAAAAAATCAATTTTTTTGATTTTTTTGGGTCAAAATCCCAAAATTTCGAAAATCCGAGATAGCAGTTTTGTAGCGCCGTCTTTTGTCTACACAACCATATAAAGAACTTTAAAATTGCTTGTTAACTGTAGAATTGGTGAGCGTTTCAAGATGTCATGTTTTTTGCTCATTTTTACTCGAACATGACCTCAGTTTGACCTCAATAACTCCTGACCTGAGGTGACCTGTGACTTGAAATTTTGTGTGAAGGTGTTAAATTGATGCCCGGTAAGGTACCCAAAATTTGGCGGCGCTGCGCGCCGCCGTTTTCTCGCTATTTAAGAAAAACCACAGGGGGGGGGCCAAAATGGCCCCCCCCCATCAGGGCGCGGGTTAAGGCACGGTAGATAGAAATTACCTCGGTTCTCAACGCCTTAAGTTATTTTCATAAAAAAGAACAAATAAATGATCAATAAGATGACAGGAATGTAAACATTTTAATCGTAAAGTAGTCCAAATATTGGAATGAGCTTTTGCTTTTCAGCATCCTCCGATTCATCATCTTTATCATTTGAAAATTCGAGGTACATAAAATGTTTATCACGCGCTCAATGTAAGTGGGAATATAGGATAGTACACGGCAGACACATCAATTTTTGACACTGAACATTTCATCCGTAAATGTTTTAGCATAATTTAAAGTTAAAAACAGCGCGAATGGCAGAGTGAAACAAACAACATCTTTCACCCATTGATATAACATGTAATCTGTGGTGCGCCAGATGCGCCATTATTTGTCAACCGCAGAAGGTGACATGTGACGTAACAGCATCAAGAGCATCTTTTTTCAAGAACTTTTCAAAACAAGTTTCCTATCTTTCTTCCCCCATTTCTCTCAGCATATTGATTTTATGAGGCAATGGTATGCACCATAAATTCTGTGAAAATAGTTTGATCATTTTCATGCAATCTTAAAAAATCGAGTTCCCAACCCCATTCTGCCAATGGTCCGCTCGCGGCCCATCCCCACCTGGCCCGTCGTGTGTCCGCGTTGTCACCTCTCCCGTCGTGTGTCCGCGTTGTCACCTCTCCCGTCGTGTGTTCGCGTTGTCACCTCTCCCGTCGTGTGTCCGCGTTGTCACCTCTCCCGTCGTGTGTCCGCGTTGTCACCTCTCCCGTCGTGTGTTCGCGTTGTCACCTCTCCCGTCGTGTGTTCGAGTTGTCACATCTCCCGTCATGTGTCCGGATTGTTACCTCTGTCGACACGTTTCCCGATGGTTACCACTGACCTCTCCAGAGGGTGGTTTAGGTACGTCGTGTCCCTCCGCCGTCTCCTCCGTGTAGGTGGTGTGGAACCACAGACCACCCTGGTACTCCTGCTGGCTCCAGAACCAGCCCGCTCCGGCCTCGAAGTTCTCGCACCATTCTCCGGCGAGCGATGGCGCCAGAGTGGTGAGCAGCACGGCCGCCACCACACTCAACTGGGGCCTGCTGACAGAGGGCCGAGAAACGCCACACGCTCAGTCGTCTAGCAAAATAAGACCTTTGTAGTTATAAATGGACAAGTATGGTATCGAGAGTATATGAACCTCCAGGCTCCACAAATCAAACTATTAACCCGCGAGTTGCTGGGGGGGGGGCGTTAAAAGCCCCCACTTTTTTCGCCGGGCCACAGCATGAAAACGGCGCGCCGCAGGCGCGCCAAATTTTGGGTACCTGTAGGGAATTGAATGAAGTTTATTGTGACAAAGTTTCAAAAAAATCGCTCGGAAATTTTTTGAGATATCGAGGTTTTAGTGACGTCATGATTTCTGAGTTTTCGACCAAAAACGGCATATGTTAAAAAAATCATATAAAATCACAGAATAGACATATAGACATGCCGTAAACGCCACTGGACTGCTAATACCATGAACAATCAAATGGCTATCTTCGATTGTTGATTATCGTTCCGCATTTTCCAAAATCTTGAACTGAATCTTGGCAATTTCTCGTGACTACTTCACGACCATGATACATGCATTTCTTAAATTGAACTTTTTTAGCCAAACACGTACACATATGGTAAAATGAATGTCACCATCGTGTTCCACGCCCCAAATTACCCATAAAACATGTGTCACAGGCTGCGAATATTAGTTTTGATTTTCGGGGATATGTGCCTGCCCGGTTGACCTGACTTGACCCTGACCTATGCTTGACTGACCCCTACATGGAGCTGACATCTTGTAGGCCTTATATGATGGATTGTGCACCGTTTTGACAGAGTTTATGACGAGAGGCGCCCATTGCGAGTCCTGAAGTCCATGCTACTGAAAGCCCGATTTCAGGTGTTGACCTGACCTTGACCTGACCTGTGACTCAAAATTCACTTAAAGTACTCATCTGAAGCGTTCGTCGCTTCGCGTTCTTTCGTTTGCCGCCTCGTGCGTTTCGCTGCGCCTATTGGTTCTCGAGTTATCGGCTGGGGGCGTTTAACGCCACCCCCCCCCCCAGCAAACGGTGGGTGGCGAAATACCCCCAGCAACTGCCGGGTTAAAACAGTTACATTAAAGGCGTACCGGTTTCGTCTATTGACTTCTTCAGCGCCGTTGTATGAAACATGAACAAGAAAACGAGCACAACATCATCGTTTGAAATAAATAGCACGTATTTCTGAGAACAAGGTCAGA